CTTCCCGTTATGACATCACATAGTTCTTTCACCAAACATTTCTGTGGAAGTGTGTGGGTGAGAGGTAAATGGGTTTGGCAGCAGTCTCCATAACATGCCATTTACACTGAAAGCATGTTGCTTTTTCTTTTTTTTTAAAGTACTATGCCTAGTGGTTTTAAGTGATTTATACATTGTAAGGGCAAAACATAGAACTAACAGAATTCCCAACAACCCCCCTCTTAAAGCTTTTGGCTCTTAGTCATATTTCTCAATTGTTAGTTTTATTTCATGTTTTTCAGCATCACATTACCTTCCAAGCAGTAAGCAACAGTAATCCCAAGTAGCAGTGGGACATTAATTAGTATATGAGGAAATGGCTCTTATTACTGCTCCTCTGCTGCAGCCTACGGAGGTGCTTTATAAAGCACACCACGTACAACTGAGGTATCTCATTTATTCCTTTCATCACCCAAGAGTTTACCCTTCAAAGGATGCTAAATTGTCTTTCTGCAGTGGCAATACTTATTGGTATTAAAGTCCAAACTATTGATGCTGCATTAATGCTGAGGTAAGACTCAGGGTTTAGGTAGTGCTAAAGTACATTTGCACTGAGCTTCACAAGAAATGGGACATGCATTTATTTGCCATGTCAGCTCTCCAGTTCATTTTCAACAGTTCCAGGCAATACACTGTATCACTTGTTTAAATTACAACTTAAGTAACTTCAAACAAGAAGCTTCTGGCATAATATACTCCTCTCATGTGACTGTGTCACCTCATAAATCACACGAGGGGGTTCCTGATTTAAAAGTGTCCCCCATTTTGAACTGGGCAATGCCAAACAAATAACAGCACCCCTTCCTACCCCTCGATGTGAAATCTGACATAAAAACAGCCATGTGGAAGAACTGTATCATATCACGAACTACATACCTGAATTTACATGGACCATCATGAAACAAGTATCCAGATACCATTGAGCATCTGTGATATGTTCCTAGGGTCACTGTTAAGAGAAGAGTTCAGTGTCCTGACAGACCACTCACACTTTTTTGCTCAAGATTCCTGGGTTGTTACACCAAAAAAAGGTTGTCAGTTCTGCCACAGCTATCTGCCTGCAAACCTTTGCAACTCAATGCTTTTCAGAAAAAACTACCTTCTTCCAATATCTTTGTCAGAAAGTCATCTTTCTAGTATAGTCATTTTACTTACTGCTTCCACAGAAGATAATTGTAGTTACCCAAAGCTTGTATGTTGGTCACAACTGGTAGAACCACAGGTGTTGTTGTTGTTTTTATATTTTTATTTATGCCCTTTTTCCTTAACAGGGACTCATATGCAAATAAAATTATATATGCAGTAGATAGCAAATCAAAGTAAAATGTGTTCTTTTAATGTTTATCTTCATATGACCAATTTTGTTCACTCTTGCTGAATTTTAAGTTAAATTGAAGTAGAAAAATCCAGGTTGCAGATCCAAGTATTACGTGGCAGAATGTGGTTTATTAGCATAATTATTGAGGAAGCTAAACCCAAAGAGCCCACAGGAATGGGACAAACCGTGTTCCACACTTCATGTAAAACATCAGTAGGAGATGGGAGAAACTGCTGGATAAGATACACTTGAAGAATATTCCCATCCTTTTGTCGTTTTGCCAAAACAGAAGGCAAAGCTATACCTGATTTCAAAGGCAGCCAAATAAATGGATATCTTAACTGCAGCAAGGAGCTGGTTCCAGAGCCTACAGTAGCTGCCACCATCAGAAACACCTGTTCAGTAGGGCCCACCTGCTGACAGACAGTGGGACTGCCAAAACTATTTTCAGTGCCTGATTCTGTTCCTTAAACTTTGGCACTGGGAATCTTTTGGTGGTCTCAGCAAATATGATGTGGGTAGCCACTGCTAAACAAGCTCTGGAACCATCTCTCTGCCAAGTGTTGTTGTTTTAACCCTGTCACATCAGAATAGTTTTCAGGCTAGCTTAGAAATAAAAAGGCAAACATACTTGGATAATTTGATGAAATAACATGGTGGGATGGGGTGGGTTGGAGTAAAAGTGTAAAAGATAACATAAAACAATTGAACAACAAAATAAAACAACAGGGCATTAACATTTAGAGCAAACATTAAAACAGCACTAGACATAGTCAAACCCTAATATCAGCAGCTGATAAAACAGCAACAAACTGATGTTTTGGTGAATAAAACCTCTTTTTCTTGTCATAACTGCATTGTATTAATAAAGCAACCACTGCTAAACAGGCCACTCTATTAAATATACTATTAATAACAATCTGGTTTCCTTTTCATAGGCACCTAACCGTTTCTGGGCTCAGTTTAAATCCCCAAACACTTTGGCATTTGGTTATCTGAAAGAAAGTTCACACCCATATAAATGGCCTGCACAGGGTACTAGACAGTTAAGATTTTTTTGGTTTTGTTTTCAGCAGGCTTTTATTTTTAGTTGCTGCTGAATTCAGAACTCTTCCGTTTTAACTTTCCTCCCTGCAATATTTGCTTTGGTTTTATGATTTTATGCTGTATTTGGAAATATTTCTTTGCACACGTCTTTGAAAACCTCACCTGAAAAACTGGTTATAAACTGGTTAAAGTAGAATAAAAATAAATAAAAGTGGAGATGGTACACCAGGAAAAACAGTGGCTCATTTCTTTTGTTCTGCCTGAATTTCCAGTTATACAAGAACAACAGGTGAATTTTGTTTTTGTTTTGTGAAAAGCTGTTTCCCCCTTTTGCTGGGCCTTGGACAGACAGTGTGCACTTAGTCAGAAAATACAAATGTTAGTGGCTGTGACATTCAACAGGTGACCTTTTGTTGAACTGGGCGGATTCAGCTGAGGCTTCTAAATAACTTTCCAAGATGGGATGTTTATGGACAGATACTGCAGTATGTGTATCATAAATGCAACTGTCATGAAAGGGAAAACATTATATTCAAGACTCTTTTCTAAATCATTCTGATCCAGAAACATAGATATTAAAACAATTCATGCTATATAATCAGTACTAGGAGATTCATCACTGGATTTCTTCAGTTTCTTCCAGCACTAAAAGCAGCTTCAAAGGGCCCCCATATGGACTGGGACTGGGGGGTTTTAAGGGGGAGGGGTTAACCTGGCCCTCAACATGATTTCTACCACGAAAAGGACAATGTGGTGCTGCAGCCTAGAAACAAATCAGCCCCCTTTAACTTAAAAACATCAACAAAGAAGAACAAGCCACATATCTCCCCAAATCTTTTCTAGCTTGGTCTTTCAGTTCACAACTGAGGCCCTGCTTTGTGACCCAGTGTCACCAGAAGTCTTGCAGGGGCCACAAGAGAGAGTTTCATCCATAGAGTGTGGAATGGCTTCCTGCAGAAGGCCACCCAATTCCTTCACTGCTTGCTTGTTGGCAAACTGCAAACATGCATTTCGATCTGTATTTAGCTATATTCCCCTCTCTGGCAATAGGAAAACTCCAGAAGGCACAGCCCCAGCCCTATAGCCAATGTCAGATGAACTTCAGCCCACTGAGGTGGTCTGGGGGAGGGGAGCACCCTCATCACTCGATGGGTGTCCTGGTGTTTCAAAGCTCAAGTTTGCCTGTTGGTACAACCCACTTTCCTTCACCCCGAGGGCCTTTCTCTTATTCCTGCCCACTTCTTCTTAAGGTCCAGGCCTTTCCTCTCAGTCTCAGTCGCCATTGCCCCCACCCCACAGCACTAGGCCTATTTAAATAATTGTATTTCAAAAGCTATGCACTGAAAACAAATTGTGGGCCTACACAGTATCTGATAGAAGGCATGCACATCTCACAGTAAATAAATGATTTGGAATTGTCATCATACAGGGAGCCCCTTGCACACCAATTCTACTCCCAGGGAAGCCTTGCACACCTGCCATGGAAGCCCAACACAGTGCAGCCCATTCTGGGAATGTTAAGCTCGCCTTGGACCCTGGTCTGTTCACATGGGCCTGCTACCCTTTTTGAAGGGAGGAGACCTAGATTACAGCCAATACTCCCATGTAGCTCCAGACTGCAAAGGAAGATCAGTAACACGATGTGTGAGAATTTGCCTTTCAGTCATTTTTCCATTATTTACCTCTTTGGCTTCTACGAAATCCCTGATACCATTTGAAAACATGACATTCAAAGACCATTGAATTCAGGGTAGTCAGACACCATCTCATAAGGTCCTGCAGCATGATTTGCCAAAGAATATCTGAAGGCAAAAACGTTTCTCTTCAACCAGGCGATTTGCTAATTAACACTCTATGGCTTTTTAAATGTTTGTGGGAAGGGGGTTATTGCTTTGTTTTTTGTTTTATTATGTATTTGTATTCTCATTTTGTATTTTTCTGTTGTGAGCTGCCCTGGGATCTTTGGATGAAGGGCAGTATACAAATATAATAAATGATAAATAAGATGGTTCCTTGCTCAATTTAGCTGAAAGCACGGCTACTCGACAAGTCACAAGTTTCAGTGGGGCTTCCCTTCTCAGAAGCACGTCCAGGACTTCGTAACACTGCGCCTTTTATTTCCACAGTACAGTTGCAAGAACTCGTTTCCCAAGTAAATCAATATACTGTGTTAATCAAAAGTGCACAGAGCCAGCAAACCGCAGTTTTAGGTATACAGATTGAACAAACTAACAATAAATATAGGTAAAAACTTTTAAAGGTTAGTATTTAAAAAGCGCCTCAAGCTATTAACAGTACAATAATGAAGGAAGGCTGTTCTATATAATTTTTTATCAAAGATGTCGCCTGCAGGGTTGCAAGGAGGGAAACTGCTTCGGCGCTGCGAGACAAAGGCGCGCGACCGCGGCGCGCGAGGAAGAGCCTCCTCCGCCAATACTACGACTCCCAGCATGCCCCGCGCCAGATGGCCGCCCTTTGCGCCGCCGCTGCTGGGCTTGGCTGTTCCGAGGCGCGCGCGCGCTGCGCCGTCGGGTGAAGAGAAAGCGAGGCAGGCATTGGTCCGCCCCCGCCCCCCCCCCCGCCCCGGAGAAGAGAAAAGCGAGACACGCGCCCGCGAAAGAGAACAGCCGAAGGACCTCCGAGCCGGGCAGCAGTCCTGGCCAGGCCCCGCCCACTTCCCTCAGGAGCGCCGCTGCCCCCCCTCGCCGCCGCCTCAGCGCGCCCGCCCTTCGCTCCCTGGCGGTGGAGGCGGCGCGGCGCCCCTGGACCGGCTGACGGCGAGGGCGACGCCCCCCCCCCAACTGCCCGGCGATGTTCTCTCGGAGGGGCCACGCCGATGTCAAGAAGTCCACCCAGAAAGCGCTGGACCCGCGGAAGGACGTCCTGACGCGCCTCAAGCACCTCAGGGCGCTGATGGGTGAGTGGGGCGGGCGGGAGGGGGCGCCTCCCCGCAGCCCCGCCAGGCGGAAGCGGAGGCAACTTGGCAGGTGGCGCCGGAGGGTCGCCTCCGGAGAAGGGTCCCGGTCGCTGGAGGGTGCGAATCCGGGATGCCCCGGGTCCCATCCCTGCCGTGTGAGGTCGTCATGATCACAGCCATCACTCCTTAATGACACTGGCGAGTTGCTTTGCCCAGGGCAGCCCAAAGCGGCTTACAATCCGACAGACAGGCAAAACCAAACCAAACCCAGAGATAGGTTATAATGTGGCGCTTACCTGCCCGCCCCCCCCCCAACCTCAAAGGGTTGGTGGTTAGAGCTCGCCCAGGGATGGCTGTGGGTAGCGTTCCTGAATAGCAGGGGGTTGGACTAGATGACTGTCAGGATCCCTTCCAATCCTACAGTTCTGTGATTCTCACAGCCCCCATATATGCAGTGGGGTGGGAAAGAATTTACTGTTGTAAGGAAAGCAATACCATGAACATGGTGTACTTCAAACACAGTTCAAATCCACACAACAGGGTGAGCTCCCCTTGCTCTGTCCCAGCTTCTGCCAACCTAGCAGTTCAAAAGTGCACCAGTGCAAGTAGATAAATAGGTACTGCAGCGGCAGGAAGGTAAACGGCGTTTCTGTGCACTCTGGCTTCCATCACAGTGTCCGTTGCACCAGAAGCGGTATAGTCCTGCTGGCCACATGACCCAGAAAGCTGTGGACAAACACCTGCTCCCTTAGCCTGAAGCAAGATGAACGCCACACCCCATAGCCGCCTTTGATTGGAGTTAACCATCCAGGGCTCCTTTACCTATTTTTTACTTTGTACTTTAAACACTCACTGCAGTTATGAATGCATGCTAAGTTGAACCAATCTCTGCAGCTAGTGCTTTTGTCTTGCAATGTTTCATGTCTGCACCTAAGGTCTTGCCTGTGACCTCTTCTAACTCTGTTGTTTACATTCTCTTCTCACAAAGAGCTCCCCCTTTGTGTGGAGTGTGTGTTGGATTACCCCTCATAACCTACCTTGTTAGAGTACATTGTTGTGATGGGGTATGGGGATCAGCGGTTCTACATGGAGATAAAAAAGATGGCAGTTGTATTGTAAGCAAGGGACAATGATAGGGTTAACATCCTTGTGCCTCAAACTCACATGCACTAAAAAAAAGTTGCTGGCTTGTTCTGCAGTTTTAAAAAGAAGTGGTTTTTTTAAATTTCAAAGTGAATCCTGATTCATGGTATTGCATGTTGCCAGGAGGCAAAAGACAAATCTTGATGTAACTAGATCATGATAAGGAACTGGTTTCTCTGTTCAATTGTTCCAGCTTTTGTCAGTTAAACTTGAACCAAAAGCATATTGTAGAAATCTAAAACTAGGGTTATGCCCAGCATACCCACTTCCTGTGCTCTCAGCTAGACTGGAAATATGAGCAGTGTCTTCTCCTTGGGGACAATAATATTCTTGCACTCAGCCCATGTGCATTCACTGTGAATTTCACAGTTTGTTTTGATCTTGCAATGGTCCCTGTCAGTTGTGTGGATTGTCCATTGCCTGCATGGGCTGAGCCATCTTGCAGAGTCTTGAAGCAGTTCCACTGGCTCTGAAATCTGAGCTGGCTGGATTTTGTCAAGCAGTGGGGGAGGTGGGAGTTGTTGAGTAAAATAAACATCCATTCTACCTAACTTTATCACCCTCCTATGAGTAAACAGAACACTGATCTTCCAGGAAGTTGCATAAGATAATGGCCTAATTCACAGTGTATCCCTGCTGTGCTGCTTCACACTGCAGGTGGGACTCAGCTGTCTCAACGCTCCATTAGAAAAACACCTGCAAATGGAAAACCAGGGGGAGACTAAGCGAATCTAGCTTTATAGGTGGATAATTTTGTGTGTGTTGGGAGGTGTTTCCAATTGAATGAGCTCCTACCTGCAGGCTGCAGCAGTTCTGCTTAAACCAGGCTTCCTCAACCTCGGCCCTCCAGATGTTTTGAGACTACAATTCCCATCATCCCTGACCACTGGTCCTGCTAGCTAGGGCTCATGGGAGTTGTAGGCCAAAAACATCTGGAGGGCCAAGGTTGAGGAAGCCTGGCTTAGACACATAGGTTTGCCGTGTTAATCAAAGCTACACCAGTATGGTGCTGGAATTACTGAGGCCTATTTAGATAGTGTTCTGAACCGTATCTTGTTGAGGATATTTTAAAGATTATACCAATTTACATGGGAGTAAGGCCTATTTAAATCAATGGAACTTGCTTCTGAGTTGTCACGTATAGGATTGTACTGTATGTTTCCCAACCCATTTTGTAGTCTACAACTGTTTTAAAGTTCCAGAAAGCCCTTGATAAAATGCATTACTAAAGAAGTAGCAATATATCTGCTGGCTCCAATTATCTGAACTGAACTGTCTTATTCAAATATACATTGGTTTATTCTCCAAAGATTTTAGAACAAAATAAACCAAACTGTGAAGTCTTGATGTGCGTAATTAACTTGTTTAATAGCATCGAGAGGAAAACCAGGAATTCACAGGAAAGTACCGTATTTTTTGTCCCATAGGACGCTCCGTCCCATAGGACGTCCCTAGTTTTTTTGGGAGGGAATAAAGGGGGGGAAATTCCTTTATTTCCCCCCCCCCAAACCATGTCGGGGAAAACCGAACCAGGTCGAGGAACAGCGGGATGGCGGCGCTGCGCCTCCTTGCTGTCCCCCGAGCTTGTGGGGCTGGCCGGTGTCTGTCCGGCGGGTGGGGCGCTCTGCTTCAGGGTGCTCCTCGCGCCGGGCGGCAGGCTGCTATCCGCAGCGTGGGGAGCCCTGCGGGGAACTCCCCAGGAAGCCAACACGCTGCGGATGTCTGCCTGGCGTGAGGGGCGCTCTGCTTCAGGGCGCCCCTCGTGCCGGGCGGCAGGCTGCTATCCGCAGCGTGGGGAGCCCTGCGGGGAACTCCCCAGGGCTCCAACATACTGCGGATGTCTGCCTGGCGCGAGGGGCGCTCTGCTTCAGGGCGCCACTCGCGCCGGGCGGCAGGCTGCTATCCGCAGCGTAGGGAGCCCTGCGGGAACTCCCGCAGGGCTGCCTAGGCTGCGGATGTGTTCCCGAAGCCTGGAGAGCGAGAGGGGTTGGTGCGCACCGACCCCTCTCGCTCTCCAAGCTTCAGCGAAAGCCTGCATTCGCCCCATAGGACGCACCCAGATTTCCCCTTCATTTTTGGAGGGGGAAAAGTGCGTCCTATAGGGCGAAAATATGGTATATTGGGTTTGTAGGTAGGAGCACTGCATAGAGTTTGGATGAATAAATAAATATTTTTATAATCTGTTTTGTGGCCAAGGTTAACTCCCATAGTGGTTTACATTTACAATTCACAAAAGGTACAATGTATTAGGGATACTTAGAGGTGTTCATGGCAGTCTCTTCTGGAAGTTGATTACATTATCCAGATTCTAGGCTCTTCTATTCAGAGAGAGGGGGTGGAAGGAGCTGTAAATGGATGCAGAGGTTGACTTAGGGAAATATACCAGACCATAGGAGCGTCTCTCCATTGATTTTACTCTATATATTCAGTGCAAGCTCTCTAGTAAGTGTGTTTAGGATTGCAACCAAACCAAGCTTTTCTTAGCTACAGAATATGTAGTGGTACGTAGCATTCTGTGAAAACCAGTGATCTGTCTGTGTCATATTCACTATCACAGAGAGCCAGCATGGGTTTCTTAAGTCAGCCATGCCAGAATAACCTTACCTCCTTTTTGATAAGAGTTACTAGTCTTGTAGGCTATGGGAGTGCTGTAGACATCGTATAAAAGCTTTGACAAAGGCTCCTCAGTATCCTTGTTGGCAAGGTGGTAAAATAGGGCTAGATGATGGTGCCATTAGGTGGATTTGTAGCTGATTAACAGACCATATCCAAATAGTGCATTTCAGTAGTTCCTCCTCAACCTAGAAATAAGTGACAAGCAGGGTTCTGCAGGATGCTGTCCAGGGCCTAGTGTTGGTTAACATCTTTATAAATTACTTGGATGAAGTAGTAGAATGTATGCTCTTCAAGTATTCAGGGCAGCCAACAAATTATGTTGTGAACCACCCTGAGAACTGCAGAACACAAATTCAATAAACAAACAAACAAACATACTTAGAAGACAGAAATAGGATCCAAGATTATTTCCCCATGATGGAGAACTGGGACTAAACTAGCAAAATGAATTTCAACAGAGATAAATATAAACTTCTGCATTTAGGTAGGGGAAGCCAGATGTACAAGTTGTGAGAAAGAACTGGGTGTTTTAGTAAAGCTCAGGCATTAAGACAGGTGCATTGAAACATTTTTGCACCAATCCAGATAAGTAGACTTCTGCATACATACCACTTGTTGGATAAGGAATTTTGGTCACAAATCTGGTCCAAATGTTGATGCTATTCATTTGCACTGAAAAATCTGGTCCAGATGTTGATGCTATTCATTTGCACTGCATTGCACTGCATTGCTTTCATGTGGATGTGCATCTCCCTCCTGGCACAACTCGTAACATGAAAGTACTTGCAACCGGAACTAAATCACGGTGTTTGTATTCTAAATTATTGATATCCTTTTTAAAAAAAATCCTGATTTTCAGAGACTTTCAGAGTGGTTAAAAAGATTAAAGCTTGAATGGCATAATTCATTATTTAAACGAAACAAGTAAAATTCCAGCATAAAAACTAATCTGAATGTTTCTGTTAAATAACTTGGGCAAATTAAAAGGTTGCCCAATAAACGTTGACCAAAGGGAATCCTGCCTGGGTAGAACCTTTCATAAATGGGATACCACATCAGCAGTTGGGTGAAGGGAAGTACCGGTAGTCTTTACTGTGCAGGAAAGCATTCAGAGTTCCAATTATTACATGTACTTAAAGCTAGATAAGAGATGAAAATGAAGAGGATGAGCCAAAAGCTGTGTGCAAGAAATTGGGGTTTGAGGAGGGGTACATTTCTTGCCATATTCATTTGTAACCAAT